TATAATGTTTTCATCAACTCGTTAAATCTATGTGCAATAAAAAGAGACACTTTGAATGTTCCTGAAAGCACATTAGTCAGTTCATCGCTTAGTCTTCCTTTTTTTTTTTTTTTTTTTTGGTGGGTCTTCTGCAGGTGAGGCAAGGCCCCACTGCTGAGCTGTGTCCCTGGCAACGCTTAAATTCTGGACATTTTCTCTTAAACCGATGTTTCTGGTTTACACGTAGTCAAACCTGTCTTTATTTTGTGTCTTCAGATGAACACTGTGCATTTGTAAAAGGAGTTGGGGTATAAAGGACAAGCCCACCTTAGTACCCATGGGGGTCATTTAGAAACACAGGAGAGTCCCCCCCCCCCCTTGCCCTTGGTCTGACTGTCCCTGAGCAGAGCTCACACTTTGCCACCTTCCTTGCCAAACCCTGGGATTTATTACAGTGGCCAGACACCGAGACACCCAGGTATTACAGATAAACAGGACATGTGTATTGCATGCACGCTGAATGCTCTTGAAGAAGCCAGAGCAAGACTTGCACATCTTCCTCTTTCCTCACCCTGCTTCCTTGGCGCAGGGTCTCTAGCTGAACCGGAGGCTTCCTGCTTAGGCTGAGTTGGCTGGCCAGGGTCTGGGGCTCCGCTTGAATCCCTACCTTCAAGGATGGGCTACAGCCGCTCTAGCCATGCCAGGCTCTTTACTTGGGTGTGGGGATTACACTTGCAGAGAAAGCATTTTACCCACTGAGCCACATCTCCCAGCCCTCAGGAACTTCATAAAAGTAGTATGTCCCCAAGAGAGGCCATAAAAGACCAAGAAAGTATCCACCGTTCGTGTGAACTCAGTATTAAGTGGGCACCCTGTGCTTTTTTTTATTTGTGCAACCGGGCACTCCTGGTATGGCTGTTTTAGTTGGTGCTGGGGAAGGTGGAAGTTATGGTTTTAGGTCTTACAGAGTGCAAAGCCAGGTCTTCCAGAGATTTCCCCCGACTCTACCCATGACTGCTAAAAGCCGTCCACCGGCCTAGTCATCTTCTGCTGCAGGGCAGGCCGCACACCCCCTCACCCTAGACTCATTACTTTGGGGACCTGGGGAAAAATCCAGATGCCTGAGGTTCTGGCGGGATCTGCGTGATTTTGCTCGGGTAAATGTTCAGAGCGCCGGCCAATCCCGTGTCCGAGAACCCGGGCGCGGCGTCTCAGAGCCAGGCGCTCACCCCCGCGGCCTCCGACCCGCGCTGAGCTTGCTGGCGAGTCCTTCCCGGGCCGAGGCTCCGCACGGCGGGGGGTGGGGACGCCTACTTCCCCGCGAGCCCAGCTCTGCCCGCCCGCGGTGACTCAGGTGACTTCACCCGTTCTAGACAGGCCGGGCAAGCGGGTCGGCGGGGCGTGCGTGGGGAATCGGAGGGCGAGCGCGTAGAGGGGGGGGGCGTGGGCGGCGAGGGCGCGCGCGGGGGGGGGGGTCGGCGAGCGCGCGTGTAGATTAGGCGGGAGGGCTCGCGTGGAGCTGGAGGGGGCGCAGAGGTCTGCGATTGCAGAGGCCGCCACTACTTCGCCCGCGCGGAGGCAGGGGGCTGGCTGGGGTGTCGCAGCAGGTCGTGGGAGGCTCGCCGCTGACGTGGAAAGAAACGCAGCGGCGCTTCCGCTTCCCGTGTCCTCGGGCCCTAGGGCGGCTACACAAAGGCGCGGAGCTCCGGGAACCCGCCAACCCTGCTGCTCCGTGCAGGAGAAGGCGCCGACATGGCCGTTGCGCCCGGCCCAGCGCCGAGTTTTCTCTTTTCTTCTATTTCCGCGTGTGTGTGTGTGTGTGTGTGTGTGTGTGTGTGTGTGTGTGTGTGTGTGTGTGTGTGTGTGTGTATGTGTGGTGTGCATGTGCGTCCTTGAGCGCCAGAGACCCAAACTTCCCACTTCCATCGTATTTAGTGGGGCAGGGTCTCTCAATCAAACCCAGGCTGGGCCCCTGGAGACGGTGGGGATTACAGGCCCTGGGGCATTTTATGTGCATCCCGTGGGTCTGACCTTGTGTCTTCAAGCCTGTTTAACCACTGAGCCATCTCCCTACTTGTTAGTGATTTCTTTCACTTTCTACTCTCTGGACTCGGTTTCCCTCTTAGGCTCAGTGGCAAGACTGGAGACACCTTCCAGAATCTAGGTGCACACAGCCTTTGAGGGAGGGAGGGAGCTTGGGGGGGCACTGCTGTGCGCCGGCCCCTTGCAGTGTGGTATCTTCATTCTTAGAGCGAAGTCTTCAGTGCTATGGGATGCATTGGAGTGGGGCTGAGAATCCCATTCCCTTCACTTTCTAGTCGTGTTCCACCTTCCCTGTGATTTTTCTCTCTGTTGGATTAAGTGTTGGCTAAAGACGGTTCTGACCTGAGAGGTGGCAGCCTGTAGAGACGTCTGTGTTCTTTCTCCTACCTGGAGGAGTGAAGAGGGCTCAAAGCTGCCAGCCCCACTGACTAGCCCGTGCTAGGGCTGGCGTTTGGACCCTTCTTTGGGTGCAAAGGCTTTACCTGTTCTTTACTTTGCTTCCCTTTGGAGAAGAAAATGAGATGGGACACCTTGGGTGAGGTCAAGGCCCGGGTTGGCTGTTGGCAGGATGTCCTCGTGATGGGCTCCGGTCCTTGTGACCCAGGGGCAGGTGTGTGGCATATGGTGCTGCTGTACTTTGGGGCCTGGGGGAAATAAAATCCTTGGTTCTTGCCATGGGCCTTTTTGGAGACTGTTTAAAAGGTATGAAAAGAGCTCTGGATGGTGTTGCAAGAGGTCAAGGCAGCCACTGAGACATGAGACTCTGTTTCAAAAAACAAAACCGAAAATTTAAAAATAAGTAAAAGACATTAAAAAGTACAGGGATTATAAATGATATTGAAATAATTATCAAAATGCTACTAAAACTCAAATTTGTGCAATGCTCTTTATTAACGGCCTGAAGTAACAAAATATCATCTGAAGCAGTTAATCTCGTTGAGAGTGACCCACACCTCCATCAGCCATTCTTGTCAGACTTAGGACAGTGGTTGTATGACTGTGTGTGTTGAGGAGTCTCCAGACATGCTGCAAGTTTATAGTCCACATTTCCTAGCACTTGGGAGGCAGAGGCAGGTGGATCTCTGAGTTCAAGGCCAGTCTGGTCTACAGAGTGAGTTCCAGGACTGCCAGGGCTGCACAGGGAAACTCTGTCTAGAAACAAAACAACAAAAACCAACTTGTGAAAATAGAGATGTACATGTGAGTTCAAGGCCCCTGAATTCTACCAGTGCACACCCCGGGAGTAGAGGGCTGTGACCTCATGGCAACTTGCTGAGAGGTGATTTTCTTTCTAAGTTCTGTTTGTTTTTGTTGTTACTGTTTAATGGGTTTGTTTGTTTTTGCAACAGTGTCTCACTGTGTAGCCTAGGCTAGCCTGGAGCTTGGAATCTTGCCTCAGCAGCCAAGTGCAGGGACATAGATGTGGACCCCTGTGGCTGAAGCATTTTGGCCACATTCTGACATCTGTTAGTCTTAAGTGTCTCCTCTGCTCAAGTTCACAGTTGTTTTAGTGAAAAAAGCTTCCTAGAGGGAACTGCTGGATTGTTCACACCCCCACCCTCTACCCCCTCTTCTCCCCCACCCCTCACCCCTGCTCTGCTCCTTCTGTGGGTGACACTTGCAGAGTGGGTGTGTCTGTGGTGGACTGTACCCTCTCTCCTTTCAGTGATGGTAAGCGAGTGTGTATATGAGTTTTTTTGTCACTGTGACCAAATATCCATGTCACAAACCACTTAGGGAGGAGAGAGTGGTTTTGGCTCATGTCCTGGCAGCGAGGGCATGCCGCACTAGGGCAGTTCACATCGTGGTGGCCTGGAAGCAGAGAGGGGGAGCATGGGCCCTCAGGTGGCTTTCTTGTTTTAGTCTGTCTGGGCCATCCACATTCAGGGGGGCCTTCCCCTCGGCTAACCCCCCTGGAAAGCCCTCACTGACAGGACAGGGGTGGGCTTCACCTGCCTCACAGGTGATTCTCAATCTAGCCAAGTTACAGTGAAGAGCAGTTGTTCTGGGTTTCAGGGCATCACTGGTTGTTGTTTTAGCTACTTTTTTCTTGCTCTGACCAAAATGCCCACAAGAAACAGTTCCAGGAAGAGGGTTTATTCCCCATGCAGGTCTAGGTGTTAAATCCATCAGTGGGAAGGGGAGTTAGAGGCTGCGGGTCACATTGTATCCACAGTCAGGAAGCAGAAAATGAACAGGAAGTGTGGCCTGGCTGTAAACCTCAATATTCAGACTCAGTGACCCGCCAGGCTCCATCTCCTAAAGGTTCTCCAACCTCAATCAGGGTACCCAGTCGGGCACCTAGTGTTCAAACAGTGAACAAGGGGACATTTCTCATCCCCCCTCAACACTAGTGTCAGGGAAGGAAATGGATTTTTGCAGCTTAGCCCATAGCGTGAGATGACCTGAGGATGCTCTAGTGAACTGTATCATGCTGGTGCATTTGAAAATTAAGATAAAAAGTCAAGACAGGAGAACAAGAGTTGAGTAGTCCTGAGAACTGAGTGTAGCTTAAAATCCTGCTCCCTGCCAAGTCTGTACGCCCAGCCAGCTTTGTAGTGAGATCTTCCAAACATCACAAAAATAACGAGAAGGGAAGAGGGCTACTCTTGGTTTATTTATAAGGCCACATAGCATTGTTATGAAACTTGACAAGGAAATTACTAGAAACTGTGTGGGACCAAAAGTCAGTAAGAAAGATACAAAGGATACAATGAAATAATGTGGGGGCAAATGATCCTAGCATTCTAGAAAAGGACAGCAGGCCGGCTGCTTGGGTTTACTCAGGAAAGCTTTGTTCAAATGGCGCACGCCTTTAATCCCAGCACTCGGGAGGCAGAGCCAGGCGGATCTCTGTGAGTTCGAGGCCAGCCTGGACTACCAAGTGAGTTCCAGGAAAGGCGCAAAGCTACACAGAGAAACCCTGTCTCGAAAAACCCAAAAAAAAAAAAAAAAAAAAAAAAAAAAAAAAAAAAAAGGAATAAACCAGCTAAAGCCCAACTATGGAATAAAGGAGGGAAAAATCTCTGATAAATCTTCTACCAATGAGCAGTACAAACTTTTGGCAGGGGCTGTGGCTCAGTGGACTGAGTGCCTGCCAAGCACTCTCAGCTCTGGGTGGCATCTTCAACACTGTATAAAAAGGGCGTGGTGGCATGTGTCTCTAAGTCCAGCACTGGGAATACTCAGTCATTCTCAGTCACATCATTGGAAGCAGCCTAGTAACAAGAGACATGGTCTAAAAACAAACAAACAAACAAACAAACAGAAAACAAAACAAAAACACCTTTTTAAGGGAGGGAAATTAAAGATTTTAAATGATGGAAGATATGTCATTTCTTTTTCGATCCACAGAGTCAGTTAGAATCCAGTCTTGGGCTGATTGTGCTGGGGTATGCCTTTAACCCCAGCACTCTGAAGGCAGTCAGGAGGAGCTCTGTGTGTCTCAGGCTAGTCTGGTCTAGGCTGCATATCAAGTTCCAGGCAAGGCGGGGGGGCAGGGGGTACATGGAGAGACCCTGTATTAAAAAAATAAAATCAATCAAAACCCAGGAGATTACTTTTCAAAAATAGAAGTTGATAAGCTGGCTCTGCTAGTTTCTTGGGAGTTGTCTGTAGTGAGGGTTGGGGGCTGATACCTGGTTGAGTGTGCAGGCCCAAATGCATGTGTTATCTCAGATTGGTGACAGGGTCACAATGAATACACTGGGGAGAGGAAGAACTAGAGAGGATGCTGGATCAATGGGAAGTCCATATGGACAATAACTTTTTGTTTGTTTTGCTTTTGAGACAAGGCCTCATTCTGTAGCCCACACTAGCCTTGGACTTACAGCAGTCCCTCCTGAGTGCTGGAATTACAGGTGTGAGCCACCATTGGCTGAATCTTTTTCTTCTGTCTCATCCCATATATAAAAATTAATTGCCATTTATCATACGTGAGAAGGTTAAGACCACATGCTTCTAGAAGAAAGCAAAGTAAAACATCTCTGTGACGTCAGCACACAAATAGCATCAACTATAAAGGGAAACACTGGCAAGAACTGGTGACTAACTAAGGATTCCATAAAGAGAAGGCAAGTTAGAGAATGGACCAAAGAATCTACGGTACACAGACCCATGTGTGTCCATTCAAGCTGTAGAAAGACATCAGTAAATGAGGAAGAAAAAGACAGGCAGATTCATAGGAAAACTGGGCAGGTGTCACGTCACCTCCAAATTCCCAATAAACAAGCAAACGGCAAACCTCATGAACAGTTAGGGAGTGGGAAATGAAAGCATGCTGGGTACTCCTCTACAGTCCCGAGTGGCTGAAATGAACAAGGCCAGCAAGCCAGGTGCCCAGAGGATGCAGATGAGCTGGTAGTTTGCTGCTGTGGGCATGGGCATTGGCCTATCTGAAAGTCTGTTCTGAGGCATCATTTATGTGCATTTATGTACACAGCCCCTATGGCTGGTGTCCCATTCTTAGTCGTAGCAGGAAGGCATATGTCCATGTCAAAAGGTCGATTCAAAGACCTGGCTGGAAACAGCTCTTGGTTTGTCTCAGTGGAGGGGTGAGCACTCTAGTTGTTTATACGGTGGGACATTCTACAGTCCTGAAGAGAACGAATGAAACCAAGAAGGTTAGCGCTGTGCGAAGTGAAATTCTAAACTGTAAGAAGCTGACCTGTGAATGCAGAGATTGGCTTGGATGATTTAAATATGCTAATGTGACCCCAGTGTGCTTTGATAAAGGTATGGGGTGGCACCCTTTCTACCTTTAGAAATAAGTTATCAATCTGTTCCAAGTGCTGGTCAAATGGTGGCATTTACGGGGACAAGGGGTCAGAGTCACCCTTCCCTAATGGGGTCAAAGCTGCTTATGAAACGGAGTCTCTCAGGATGAGGCAGCAGCCTGGGAAAATAGTTTTAAACAATATGGAGTGACTTAGGACAGAGTACAGCCTGACCTCAACAGCAAGTCCATGTCTTAAAAGCCTGCATTTTAAAAAGTATACTTTAATAAAAAATATGTAAAGTGTTCTGCTGTAAGAGAAATTTGGCTCATTCAGATTTACCCTAATCTGGGGAGTCTGAAATGTAGAGGGCATATTATTGGTGATTAAAAGGCCTCAAGATAGGTTGAGAACTGTCAAGGGGAAAAATGCAATATCAGATCAGTATTTTTTGTTGAATTAGGGACTTGTAAAGTTGATTCCCTTTTGCTGGTCTTTAATGCTCATATAAAAAGACTTAGGGTTGTGTTTGATGATAGGATTGGGGTGACGTGGAAGTCCGGGAATGCTAAATTGAGGACTGAGCATAAAATTTTGCTTTTGGATTAATTTTCTTCTGGTTTGATTTTTTTCGAGTTTATAGCAATTGGATTAAAAAACAGCTTGCTTGAGGGGCTGGAGAGACAGCTAAGTGGTTAAGAGCAAACACTGCACTTCCAGAGGACCAGAGTTGGGTTCCCAGCATTCCAGTCAGGTGCCTTACAACTCCAGCTTCACCCTGCTGGGGGGACACCACCCACGTGTGGGAGGCATCAGTATCTGCTAACACGGAGGGCCAGACGTAGGCAAGCCAACATCTACCCGCCAACATCTGAGCTATGCACTGACTCTAGTCACTCAGGTGGCCCGAGGGTGATGTCAACAGAACCACCCACACAGCCAGGATCATGTAGGGTCCCATTCAAAGCCAGCACACGGTGGAGGACGTGGGGGTGGGGCTGCTGAGCTGGGAACTGGTGCATCCTGCTGCAGGGTTAGAAGCCCTCAGTTTGTGTTAAAAGACTTTCTGCTGAGTCCTGGAGTCACCTCCAGGCTGTCCATCACCCCCTGCATGTCGTGGTGGTGCTAGGTGTGGAGAAGGGTCTACCTTTACAGGATGTGGGCAGGAGAGCAGGGCCTGTTGGTTGGCCTTGAAAGGATCACCATGAGTCTGGACTTCGTTTTCTAGGGGAAGGGAATCATGTTAATTTATAGTCTGCAAACAAGGCTACTACTGTTCCATCCGGTTGGATCTCAGAAGAAGCCGAGGCCGGAGTCACCCCACTGCCTCACTCTCCTCAAAGCTGCGGTTGTCCCAGCAGTGTGAATTCTCTTCACTTTATTACGGCTTGTGGAGTGCACATCCCTCCTAAAATGCCCCCCTGCTCGGCCTGCCTCTTTGTGGTGCACCAACTCTCACACACGAGTTAGCATGGCTTACTCCGACCTCTGTATCGAGTCTCTGGAGGAATGGACAAGGTAGATAGACACTCACGTATTTTAATTACACCTAGTTGGCTTTCAAGTTTCCTTAGGAAGTACCTAAAATTATACCTACATTTAAATTTATTTAAATTTAGATAGCTTATACTATCGTTTAGCATCCTGAAAGACCTATTTCTTTATAGATTTTGAGAACAAAAAAGGAATCTGAGAAAGTGAGGCTGCCGAGGGAAAGTTAGAGAATCAGCTCTGCTGCTCTGCTGTGTGACTCTGGGCAGGTTTCCTAACCTTTCTGGGTCTTGGTTTCCTCTGTGTAGATAATGACACCTTCAGGATTGTAATTATGGTGAGAACTGATACTTGTGACTGCATTTTCAGTGCAGTTAACATGCAAAGTGCTCTTATTAGATTAGAGTTACTGAGAAACAGTAGGAAAGCCGTACAAAGGGACGTCCTCTTGTTAGACATGGGAAGGGGAGATGGTTTATTTAGTGAAATGCTTTCCACACAAGTCTGAGGCCCTGAATCCAGATCTCCAACACCCGTGTTTTAAAGAAAAATCCAGGCACAGTAGTATGTGCCTGCAACCCCAGCAATGGGAAGTGGGGACGGGGATTCCTGGAGTTCACCACCAGTTAGACAAATTGGGTGAGCTCTGGTTTAACGAGAGACCCTGTCTCAAAAAACAAGGACAGTAAATTGAGGAAGATACCCAGTTCTGGCCTCTGCACGAGGGTATACACACAGCTGCTCGTGCATACAGATGAACACACACACACACACACACACACACACACACACACACACACACACACACACACACACAAATGAGAAGACATTGAACAATGGGGAGATGCTTTGCTGCTCTGCCCCGGACAGGGTAGGGTTTCTGCCTCTGAGAGGGTGGGAATTAGGAACTCTGGTCCCCATTTCTGGTCAGTGCTGGCCTCTGTCTGTCCCTGTGAGGACCTGTTCTTAGTGGAATTCTGACTCCTGGAAAGGAGAAAAAGAGTTGTGAGGGTCTGTGTGATGGCATCTGTGAATCAGGTGGGTGATAAAGGACAGAGTGACGAGAGTGGAAGCCATTCTAACGCAGAAACGCTGTTGGCGGAGTCCTCAATATTTTGTGGCTAAGATGTTTTTTCTATGGGTGTAGGACTCTTTGATTTTGTGAACCACAGATACTTTAAAAACATTGTCAACCTTAGTTCTCTTCTTTCTGTCTGTTGTCAATAACGTGTTGGGACCCTGGTCCTGCAGCTTTGGACTTAACCTGTGTGTTTGTGTTTGATCGCCAGCCCACTGCAGAGGCCTGGACTAGTTTGCTGATAGAACTTAAATGTACACCATATTTGTGGTTTGTGCTGTATTTTAAAAAAAACGATGGGAAGGAGTCACACCATACAACAGGGCCCACATGGGAGGTTTATTGAGGGGAGGGAGAGAACAGGGCAGAGACCGGTCCCCAGAGAGCAAAGGAAGAGAAAGAGAAAGAGATGGGAAGTGGGCAAGGCTTGCCTTTTATAAGTAGCGAATGCCCACAGGGGGTCCTCTTAGTGGCTGCAGCTGAGGACATAGCCTGTCAGGACTCTAAGGGCAGGCCAGTACAGATGCCTGAATGCTAACATTCCCACCTTTTGTTTCTTATAAAAGGTGAGGAATTAGAAAGGGGTAGCAGGTGAGGCGGGGATGAGGGCACCATGTTCTCAAGAATGCTTCCTGCTGACCTTGGGGGTGTGTGTCAGTCATCTTTGGGGGACCTGGGAAAGCTGGGGTGCTGGCTACATCCTAGGGTGGCTGGCTGTTTCACTTCACTGTCCAGGCTCTGTGGAACAGCAAGATGCTGTTCGAGATGGATCCAAGTCGACTCCCTGGTGCTCACAAGAAATCATGATGAGGTCACCAGCCGAGATGGAGGAGAGCCACATGGTTGCTGTTTATAGTTACATGCACATACACACAGAATTAGACAGGAGTTGAGTGTATAGAAAGGGGGAACCGGTGTGTGCTGAGCAAGACGAAGCTGGCTTCTCCATCTGACCCCCACACTGCAGCAAACAGACAACATTTAGAGAGGGAGAGCACACACACAAGCAGGTCTTGGAGCAAAGAAAAAGAAAAAGTGGAGAATTCTTTCTTGGTTCCCTGACTGCTTGGTTCAAAGAATACTGAGGCCAGATTTGATTTGAAAGGAGTAGTCAGTGGGTCTCCAAAAGACATCCCAATGGGAGGGATGAGGTGGAGAGAAGAAGATCCGAAGCCTGAATGTTCTGGCATCCCAGGGATCCAGGGAGGATCAGATTAAGTGGGCACAAGCTGTTCATTAAGTCGTCATGCAAGAACAGGGGCCGAGGGCTAAAAGCCCCAGACAGACACAGTTGCCTGGTACCAGGACTTCAAGAAAAGCCAAAAGGTGAGGGCTGTGCTGGAGAAACAAAGCCTCACTCGTGGGAAGTGACCAGAAGTGAAGAAGCAGGGAGGTGGCTTACCAGTCGTCAGTGGTGGATGGAGAGTCCCAGCGATCCGTTAGGTGGGAAAGTAGGGCTGTCATGGGCGGACCAGGTTCCAGGGTCCCAGCACATCTCAGACTGCCAGGAGAGCCTATCCGAGTCACAGCACCAAATGTATTTTAAAAACGACGGGAAGGCGTCACACCATACAACAGGGCCCACATGGGAGGTTTATTGAGGGGAGGGGAGAGAAGGGACAGAGAAGGGACAAAGATCAGTCCCTGGGGACAAGAGCGAAGGAAGAGAAAGAGATGGGAGGTGGGCAAGGCTTGCCTTTTATAAGGAAACAGCAAATGCACACAGGGGTGCTCTGAGTGGTTGCAGCTGAGGACGCATCCTGTCAAGACCCCAGGGGCAGGCCAGTACAGATGCCTGAATGCTCACAGTTTGGTTCCAGACTTGGTCTCCACTTCCCCCTTGAGGACCTGAATGGTAGGCCTCCCTGCTGATGGCCAGTGTTTATAGGATTCTTGGGGACTTTTAGATAATTAAATATTCAGTGGGACCCTCCTGTCACATCGGATCATCTGTGTCTGGCTGTGATCCAAAAATATTAAATGGAAAATTCCATAAAGGAACAATTAGCTACTGTTAGATTGTGTACCATTCTGAGTGGTGTGAAAATATGTCCACCGCACAGAGGACATAGCCTCTCCCTGCGTCCAGTGGGTCCAAACATCTGCACTCCCCCACCTTGTCACTTAGTAGGCTCAGTTCCTAGATTAACTGTCACAGCTTCGGGTGCTTGTGCTAAGAAATGCAACAATGGCCCCAAAGCGCAGGACTGGCAGTTCAGACATACTGCTGAGCAGCCCCACGCTGTTTGCTTTAAGAGACAAGCTGAAAGCTCCTAATAAGGCAAGAAAAGGAGTCAAATTGGAGCTGCTGAGCTCTGTGGTAAAAACATCTTCTATTCGTGAAATTGTGAAGAGGGGAAAAACTAAATCTGTGCTCAGTTTGCTCTTGCATCTCACACTGCAGAAATTGTTACAGCTGTGGTGCATGTAAGTGTCCAGCAGGAGTCACAGCCATGGTGCATGTAAGTGTCCAGCAGGAGTCACAGCCATGGTGCATGTAAGTGTCCAGCAGGAGTCACAGCCATGGTGCATGTAAGTGTCCAGCAGGAGTCACAGCCATGGTGCATGTAAGTGTCCAGCGGAAGTCACAGCCATGGTGCATGTAAGTGTCCAGCAGGAGTCACAGCCATGGTGCATGTAAGTGTCCAACAGGAGTCACAGCCATGGTGCATATAGACTCAAGTATAATGGGAGAGGCATCCATTCTGTGGCTTTCTAGACAGGACATGACAGTACAAATGACCCTGACTGAAAATAGCGTGACTTAGAATTTTTTGAGTGGTATTGAGTGGATATTTTAGCTGGGGTTTACTGGGATGGGATGCCCTTTACAGCCAAGGGTGCCTGTATACAGAAGGTTCCAAACTGTCTGCAGTTCCCAGCATACACTGGGTGGGGCTTGGTTACTTTTCCTGTCGATGGGATAAAACACTCTGACAAAAGCAATTTAAGGAAGAGAGTTTATTTTGGCTCACAGTTTGAGGGCACTGCCTATCATACGAGGGAAATCATGGTGGTAAGAGCATGAGGCTGCTGGTCCTGTTGCATCTACAGTCAGGAAGCAGAGAGAAGTGAATGCTGGTGCTCAGCTCACTTTCTCTCAGGGAGTGGTGCCGCCCACTTTTATGGTGGGTATTCTCAGCTCAATTAACCTAAACAAAATATCCCTGAAAGCATGGCCAGAGGTAATCCAATCTAGATAATCCAAATTGGCATGGCCAGAGGCTAAACTAGTGTAGATAATCTCTCCCAGGTGTGCCCAAAGACCATTTACATGCTGCCCGTGAGCATGGGAGAAGGAGGAAGAATGACCCTAAAGAAGACTTGCGGGCTGCCAGTTGCTGGAAGAGAAGCAGGAGCGGGTGGGATGGCCGTGGCCAGGTGAGATGTTTTTAGTTGGATTTCTTCTACTTTGGGCCATGGATAAGTAGGCTGGCAAAGCATTAAATCCACCAACCAGTAGCTACCTATGTTTATTGAATGCTTAGAACTGGCTCTGGGCTAAGCAGTTGACGTATAACTCCTTCACCAGCCTCATGAGGAGCTGCAGCTGGGACCTGGCTGCCATCCCATGTTGTTGAACCAGCACATGCAGAGTGGTGGTTCCTAACAGCGCTGGGTGCTGGCATTTGTCCCTGAGCTGTTGGGTGGAAGCTGTAGGGACCAGATCCAAATTCTAGATGTGATGGAGGAGACTGTCCTATGGCTTTTCTGATAATTATTAATACTATGTATCATTGCATATGTGAACCCCATGTATAAAATAGCTAAGATTTTATCAGATTATAATGTAGCAAAAAGAAATGTTATAAAAATGAATTTTGTACTTTGCAGGGGGTAAATCCTTCATGCAGAGGCATTACTCAAGATAGAGTATCTTTTGGGACTGGGAGGAGAGGAGGGAGAGGAAACTGAGGTTGAGAATGTAAAATAAATATTTAAAAAAGATAGAGTATCTTTGAAAAAGTATGTCTTCTAGTGCTTTCCTTTGACATTCAAGGTTATGTTCAATTATGCACTTTTGGGAGTACTTCACAATTCCCCAGTTTTTCATGAGATGAGACAGGTGTCTAGTCCAACCTCAGTCTTCCATGACAGGAGAAATGCTAAAATACCAACAGAAAATTCCCTTCCACCACAGGAGAGATGGCCCCTCTGCTCCTACAGAATTCCAGAAACTTTTTCTAGGAGATGGCTGTAATAAAGTAAGGAGAAATGTATGAAATCAGGGTCCTTGAGAGAGCAAAGGCCATCATGACTCTCAGGAGAAACCAGACTACCCTTCCTGGCTAAGGTCTTGGTCATGGCCATAGGTGTGCTGGGTGAAGGGACACTGTCTTCTGTCCTCATGAAGGCCCAGATGGCCTTTCCTTCCTGTCTCTTGGAAGTCTGAGAGGAATTTGTGTGTAGCAGGTTCCAAGTCAGGCTCTGAGGAAAAGGGATTCTATGCATGAGTCTGCATGGGGCTGGCCTTGGCTTCGGGAAGAAGCAGGGCTTGACCTGGGTTTGGTCTAGGACACAGTGGTTCATTTCAATTTGGAAATGTATGTCTATTTGATGTACAGTGTGCTGTTTGGATGTGAGTATCTTTTGTGACGTATTAAATCCAGACAACCCACACAGCTGTTACCTTGCATGTTTTCTTACCGGACTTGACTGAAATGGGGACATTTGGATCACTTGCCCCAGGACTTGGTCACTATGGCTTTACCATTTGCTTCCATGACTGTGACCTTCTTAGACTCCACAAATGTATGATAGAATGCTTGTCTTTAGGCCGGGCTCAGGTCTTCCAGGCTATGAGGCATTAACACATCTGTCATCTGTAAAATGCTCCCTCTTCTGCCCTTCCCTACCACACTGGGCCACCAGGGAAACAAAATGGGAGAATGGAATTCTGGTCCTAGCTTTACCGTTCCTGATTAGAAACGTTTGCTTGGAACTTAAGAATTTGTACCATTTAATTTGGTGCCCGCCATAACATGTATTTAAGATGTTTGCATAAAAGGGCTTAAATTTAGTTAATGCTTTGTTGTTTGGGGACACTTGGGGTCATTTAATTTGCAGAATTAAAAAAAAAGACTTATTTATTTATTATATATACAGTGTCCTGTCTGCATGCATACCTACATGCCAGAAGAGGGCATGTATACATGCCAGAAGAGGGCATCAGATCTTGTTATAGATGGCTGTGAACCACCATGTGGTTGCTGGGAACTAAACTCAGGACCTCTGGAACAATAGCCAGTGCTCTTAACCTCTGAGCCATCTCTCTAGCCCAACTCAACTTTCGGTTACTTTCTCTGACACCTGGAATGTAGACTTAGCTGCCATGACAGAGAGTGCTGGACCAGTGGAGACTTGACAGCCAAGAAGCATGTCTCTGTTTTTAGTGACAGTTTTGCTAGGTGTGCCAGGGTAGCTTGGGGGTAAGGTGGTCTGTGGAGTCATGGACTGTGGTGCCTTCTCCATTGTCTTCCATGTAGCTTTCCCCTCTTGACTCAAGAAGATTGTCCTAGTTTTGGTCAGCATAAGGGAGGAAAAGAAGAAGTTACCCACAGCCTCACCCTCCCTTACTCATGAGGGGGATAAGCATGGCGTCATGTGTGGAACTCAGTATTCATGTGTCCAGATAAAAACCCAGTTCCTTTTTGAGAAAGGAGGCTGAGTATGTGTAGGAGAAGCAAGAAAGGGAAGAGGAAAAGAAGAGAGAGGAGGAGGAAGAGGAGGAGGAGGGGAGGAAGAGCAGGAGGCTAAACCATCTGTGTTTTCCTGTTACTTGGGCTTTCAAAGGAATTATCACGGTCCTTGTTTTTCACAAGGGGAGACAGGTGTGCCACACAAGAAAAGGGAATTATTTGATGTGTTCTGTGATACATCTAGGGAAAGACCTAGGCAAATGGGGAGTGTGTGTGTGTGTGTGTGTGTCTGTCTGTCTGTCTGTCTGTGTCTGTGTGTCTGTGTGTGTTGGATGTAGGAAGGGGTAAGTATGGTCAATGAGAATGGGAGTTTGTTTGGTTGGGATTATGCCAGTGTCACCTTGAAAAGTGAAGGTCCTTGGGAGTGCCAGCTAACTCAGTTGACATCAAGAGGCCAATGTCCAGTGTCCCCTCAGTGACAGTGTGTCTGTTTTTTCCTAGACTCTCCACGCTGCATTGGGAACCAGTGACTCCAGCAATGCTGCCCCAATGGGAACTGGCTCTTTGCCTGCTTGCCTCCCTGGGCTTCCATTTCTACTCTTTCTATGAAGTTTACAAAGCCTCCAGGGGTAAGACTCCAAGGCTTGCCAATGCCTGTCAAGAAAGAAGTGGGGTGGGAGTGTCTGAGGTGGAGGGTTCAAGAGGACATTCCCATGGCAATGTGACCCGTGGGCTCGGTTTCCCAGATGTGTGCACTTGGAGTCCGTGGCAGAGCCCAGGATTGTCCCTCCTGGTCGTTTACGTGAGCCTGCGGCTTGTCATCTCCAACAGCTGCTGCTTTTCTTGTTGGTGCTGGGAAGAACCTCTGAGCACATGACCTGCCACTGAGCAGTGTCCCCAACCCCTGACAACAGTAGGAACATTTGATCCAACTTCTCTGGAAGGGATTCAAAGTAAACTGTTTTTCTTTCAACAGCTTCCTTTGCAGGCTTATCTCAGACACACGAGGGGGTCTGGGGAGTTAGCTACTCCCACCCCTTCTGTCTTTTTCTTTCTCTTTATTTCTTTTATCTTGCTGTGTTGCCCAGGCTAGCCCCACATTCCAGAATTTCCTGCTTCAGCCTTTTAAGTAGCTTGGGGCTGCAGAAATGTACTGCCCCTAAGCCCCTCTTCCAGAGTTTAAATTTTTCTATTTTTCCCGTCTTGGGAACTGAACCCAGGATCTTGTATCACATGCTAGAAGCATTCTACCCCCAGGCCACCTCCCCATCCCTCTCTTTTACTTTCTATTTTGAGATAGGATCTTGTTAAGTTACCCACACTGGTTGTGAAATCGCTTGGTAGCCCTGGTTGGCTTTGAACTCACAGTGGTCTTCCTGCTTTGACCTCCTGAGTAATGGGATGGCAGGTGGAGCCACCACACAGGGCTGCTGAGTGGGTCTTTAGGAGGAACGGGAACTGGGCTAGGGAGCTGGCTCTGTGGGTAAAGCGCTTGCCTGGAGTGGCTGATCACCTAGATTTGGCCCCCAGATCTCTTCACAGAAAGGTGGAAAGAGAACGGACTCCTGAAAGTTGTCTCCTGACCTCCGTGTGCACACCATAATGCACAGGTGCACACACATACACAAATATAATAATAATAGATATAATTTTTAAAGGGAGCTTAGGCGCTAGCCAGGTAGCAAAGAATGCTGAGGACCCATGGACAGAGATGGGGTTGTAGGCTGTAGATAAGCTTGCATCTGCCACTGGGATGAGAGAGAACACAGCATGGTAGGAGAGCCACGAGTCACTCAGTAGAACTGGGGTGCAGAGTGATGGGTCATGGGGAGACCTGACCTCAGCTTGAAGAACAGGTGTAGGAGTGTGACAGCTGTTCAGGTCCACTAAGAGATTTGGGCTCTGTCTTTTTAAAAAATACTTTTTAAATTTTATCTTATGCGGATGACATGCTTGGTACCCATGGAGGCCAGAAGAATGTGTTGGATCCCCTGGAACTGGAGTTATAAATGGTTGTGAGCTGTCATGTAGGTGCTAGGGATTGAACCCAGGTCACCTGGAAGAGCAGCCAGTGCTCTTAACCACTGAGCCATCTCTATAGCTTCTGAAGGCAGGGGAGAGTGGGGAGAGTTGATGCAGTCACTGAGAGTGGCAGACTGGGGATTGGGTTGTAGCTCACTGGTATGCTTAGCATTTGTCAGGTCCTGTTCAACCCCAGGACCGTAATACGATACAAAAGCAAATAGGTTCTGGGCAGCCTATCCCACCCTATAGCTCACCAGGGTTGACTTCACTGTCCGTTCTCCATGTTGGTCATTCAAGGGAGTTGAGACTGGCCAAGTAGCTTCATTCTTTCCTGGATCCTTGAGCTTTCAGAGACAGTGTAGAAGGAGCTCCAAGTCTGGCTTCATCCTGGGGCCTTTTCTCCTTGTCTCACGGACTCATTAGGTAAGCACAGTAAAATGGAGTGTCACTCAGAAGTCAGACTTGGCAGCAGTAGGTCCCTGGGTCATGTGGAGTCTAGTCAGCCCGAGATGCCCCGTTCCTCCGCCAGTGACTCCAAGGTCCTTAGAGGTGGCCCTGCCTTGTGTGAGGTCACTGCTCTAGCTGTAGCTCTTATGTTTGCCTTTTGCCCAGCAGGAAAGATGGACGAGAAGTGAAGTTACCTTCTGCTTTTGAAAGCGTGACCCAAAGGTTGCTTCTGTCGTGTTTGTCCACATCCCATCCTCTAGCACTAGCCCTGGGTTCTCACTAGCTGAGAGAGCAGCTTGGAGAGGTTGTCTTGGTGGGGAGCCATTATCCAGCGCACTAAGGTGCCCTGTTGGAGCAGAAGGAAGGAAGGATAGCTTTTGTCAGCGAGCTAGTGTCTTCCCTAGATGGCTGCATTTTACTAGCGAGTCAGTCTCTTCCATAGATGGCTGTCTTACTTGTCTTTTGCTACATGATAAGCTATCTTGAAGTTTTGTGATTTAATAATAATAACTGCCATTTTTTTCTAACTCAATATTGTGTGAAAATTTTCCCTTTTGGAAAGGTTTTTTTGTTTTGTAGTAGTTTCAGGTTTGTGGCAAAGCTGAATAGCATGTCCAGAATTCCCAAATGCCTGAGTTTCTAGTTTGTGTCTGTGCCACTTTCTGTCAGTGTCCAGTACCACAGGGTGCATTTGTCCAGTTGAGTCTGTTTGGCACAGCATTGTTGGCCGATGTCCTCAGTTTCCATTAGAGCTCCAACTCGGGTATCGTATACTTTGTGGATTCGAGAAGTGTATAGTGATGTATGTCCATTATTAGAATATGACACAGCAGTTTGTCCGCTCAAAAATGATCTGTCCTGTCACTCATCCCCCACCACCTCTGGTCTTTTTACTGTCTCCATGGTTTGCTCTTCCTAAAGGTCCTATAGTGAGAGTCCCATAGTTTATAGTCTTTTTAGCATGGCTTCTTTCCTCTAGGGAGGAGCGTTGAGGGGACTTAAATGTGTTTCACAGCTCAACAGCTCATCTCTTTCCCTTTCTTTTCCCCTTTGGAGACAGGTCTCATGCAGCATTTAGACCGGCTTTGAACTTTTTGTGTAGCTTAGGATGACCTTGGACTCCTGGCCCTCCTGCCTCCACTTCCTGGGTGTTGAGATGGGAGATGTGGGCTATGAGGCCCAGTTCATGCAGTGCTGGGGATCAAACCAGGGTTTAGGTTACAGCTCTTCTTTTGAGCACTGTGTAGTGTTCCAGTGTCTGGATGTACTGCATTTGAATTGTCCGTTGACCACTGGAGGACACTGCAGTTACTTCCGAGTGTTGGCAGCTGCACACAAGGCCACTGTAAGCAGTGGTGTGCAGGGTTTTACACCGATGGCTTCTTACTTGTGTATTCACCGATGCCATTGCTGATCCTGTGGCAAGCGTGGTTTCGTAAGGAACTGCCCATGTCCAGCTTTGCACCTTACAACTCAGGAGAGGTGGGAACACTCACCTGGAATGCAAGGGAAGATATTCCCTGCCATGCATCTTGCATTTTGCTTTGTTTTTGGACAAAGTCTCACTGTATAGCACAAACTGGCCTCAAATTCATGGCCATCTTCCTGCCTCCTCTCTGTGCTACCATGCCCTGGCCTACCTTGATCCTAAGGAGCCTTGCATGAATGCCCTTCTCTAAAACAGGCCATCTGGTTTTGTGGCTGTACCAGTTTGATGTAAGCCTTTCTGAAGACCAGAGTGGTCATTAGTGACAGCTGTCAGTGACGAAGGTGGCCACCTGTGGAAGCACTGGGCGGGATATCCTGCCTCTTCTGACTGTACGCCCTGCTATTCATGCTCAGGTTTTCTGGTTCTTGTGTATGTTTTGACTGTTTGTAGTGCTCTCGGAATCTGTCCATTTTGTGTGGTGTTCCAGTTGGGTGTATCGTGCAGTGTAGTCTCAGGTCTGTCTCCTTAGCCTTTCCTTCTCTGTGAGCTTAAGATGTTGACTTCACTGCTCCCCTCCTCATTCTAGCTGCAGCCCTCACCTCTCTGTATGTTTTATTTCTGTCTTCTTCTCCCTCTCCTGTTCTGTTTTCCCTTTCCCCCTCCCCAGTGTCTTTTTCTTTCTTTGATTAGCTGTGCTGGGTGCCCGCGAATCTTCCTCTGTTAGATCACTCCATGGTCCTTCGAGTTTTCCGGTGCATCACCTTCTGAACAGCGAATCTTCCTCTGTTAGATCACTCCATGGTCCTTCGAGTTTTCTGGTGCATCACCTTCTGAACATATTATTTCTGTCTTCCTTGTTTCTTGGGTTGCTTTGTTCTTTTTGTATCGACTTCATGGGTTGGAGGTTTTAGCTCATTTGTTTCCTAAGGAATGTGTTTGTATCTTTGTATGTGTCTGACTGCTTTTCCCAGGAGGTTTCCACAGTAGGAATTATAAAGTGAAACTAGACTGTTTTGCAGGTTTCAAAAAAATTATTGGCTCGTGTCATGCCTTAGTGGTTAAAAGTGTTTACTGCTCTGTCAGAGGACCCAGGTTTGGTTCCCAGCACCGACCTTGGGTGGCTTGCAGCTGCTTGTAACTCCAGTTCCAGGGATCCAAAGGCCTCTTCTGGCCTCCAAGGGCACCTGCATGCACATGGTGCACATAAACTCATGCAGTTACACACACACACACACACACACACACACACACACACACACACACACATTTTAAAAATCTAAAACAATATTTATTTGTAGTTTGTTGGAAGCAAGGTCTTCTACAGCCCTGAATGGCCTCAAACTTGCTATATATGACTTTGAACTCCTGATCCTCCTGCCTCCACTTCCTAAGTGCTGGGATGACAGGTATGTACCACCATGCCTATTTTTTTTTTTTCTGGGGATTGAGCCCAGGGCTTCATGTGTACTGTGCAAATAGTACATGGAATGAGGCACATCTCCAGCTGATTTTTGTGGTTTTTGAGACAGGGTTTTTCTATATAGCACAGGCTTGCCTTGAATTCCTGACAATCCTCCTGTTTCAGCACCCCCCACCCCAAGTTCTGGGATTACAGGTGTGCACCACCATGTCTGATTCTTTTATTTTATTTTATTATTATTATTATTATTTTGTGAGACAGGGTCTCATTGGGTAGACCTCACTGACAGGACTTGCTATGTAGACCAG